TCTATTGAGAAAGGTCACCACCGAATGTACAGATTTCCTGAGTTGTTACATGTGTAGGTTTGTAACAACTGAACATATATAAGCATTGTTGTGTATTTACCGCAGCTGTTGTTACTCAGCTATGTGTTTGAGCTGTGTTTTGCTTGTAATTACAAGATTATGTGACAAGATTAGCAAGAACAAATATGTGGTCATAGATGCTTGGCATCAGTCATTTAACTGCTCGATGAACTTGTTTGAACAAACTGGCCATGCTTGACAGGAAACGTAGTTTGAAGCACTAAATCGTGCGCTCAAACCCATTGTTTATGGTGGGTGTTGTTATGTATGTCACCCTATACACCAAGGCATGGTGAACCTAACATGAGAGCACAATGTAATCAGTAAGAATGTGCCACTTTATGTATGCAAGCTACAAAAACTACTATTTATCAAATAATTTCATGCTTGGTTTAATTTCATGATTTTCAGTACTACAGATAATTTCATTCAAAAATAGTCCAGTGTGTCGAGGTTTGCTGTCTATGCACAATCTTATTGCCCCTGAATTCTATAAAACGTGTATGTCCGATGTACTTTCTCCCTTATGCAAGATTAGAAAGGGGTATGTTTCAAACATTTCAGTGTGTGAGTATAGGAATGCCACGATACATCGATACATCAATGCATTGATACTTTTTCTAAGACGATACAATTATCGATACATTCAAAACTGTGTCGATATTTAGTTTTGAAAGTATCGCTTTAAATGTGTTTATGTATCATTTTCATATTGCAATTGTATCATGTTTTTGATGTTATGAGAGTTATAGAGGGTTATTTTTCATGCACAAAGATAGGAAATTAGAACTTTTTAATCTCTGAGAATCAAAAATGTTGATCTTTTCATGGACTATTATAAAATATGTAATATTAATGTTCAAAATGTAACTAAATTTACGCAATAATGCCGTGAAAATAGGTATCATGATATGTATCGGATCGTGACATGGGTATCGGGATACATATCGATTCATGAAACTTCTATTGTGACATCCCTAATGCATAGCATATTTATTTATATATAACTGTTATTTTCCTCTGATGTCATGGAATGTCAGTGTAAAGTCTGCCATGTAAGGATGTGTTTTGCAATATAGTTCTCTGACCCAGTGTTTGGAAGAACGTTGTAGTATTATCATAGTTTGACTGGGAAAAGAGGGCATGATTTGTTCCTTGATTGCACAATGCCACGATGGTTTGTTCCTTGTTGGTCCCTGTATCCAGCAACTTGTTTCACATTTCTTTATTCAGGGATGAGAATTTTCCTCGGATCGGCAGAATTCCAGGAATTTCATAAGGCCAAGGGTAATTTTTGTGAATCGTCTAGATCGGATATAGATGCTAAACCCCCCGGCTAGTTTTCAGAGTTTTTTCTCAAAACTTCATTCTCATCCCTGTTTATTCCACGTGTAATGTCACTGTTGTGATCCTGTGCACTTTGAAAATCCCTGTCTTTTAGTGCTGATGATCTAGAAAAATAGTAATGAAATACCTTCCTGGTGCCACAAGAGATTAAACATTTTTTTACCAACAAAACCATGTTTGACAATGTTTATGAACGTGTGTAAAACGGTAGGTCGGAAGTACTTCAAGTTTTGAATGTTTATGTGTATCTTCTAATCTATGTTTTTGGAAGTATCAGACTGTTGCCCCGAATCTTTTAGAGGTCAGAGGTCTCAGTTGGGAGTATGATCCCACAATCCAATCATGACAAATACAGTTGGTAAGCTCGCTTCATTTGCCACATAACCTACATCGTGATGGGATACAGTACATATTAACTCGCATTTATCACACACACTGAGCAGCAAAACAAGCAATCAAATGAAATCAAGTGAGTGGCAGAAATTTCCAACCATGTATATTTCAGGTGGCAAATCAGATATAAAGTCATTTCTGATGTATGCTGCCAGTAATTTCAGTCTCTGTATGTTATGCCGATGACCAAGCAATAATTGGAACAGTCAAACCAGCCAGCTTCCATCCTCCGCATCACTCACAGCTCATAACTCCCTCATCCCTGTACTAGGCAATTTATAAGACACATGGTCAGAATCTCACACACACAGATCTGATTATAGGAGATCGTGGAGGTAGACACTGACACACTGGCTCTGCTTGATCCCAGAACACCCACAGCCGTGACCTAACATTGTCTGACACAGGACCATATTCAGCAAATACACGGCAAACAGTAATCAATTGTGCAAATATTGGGAACTGTAACAATTTCCAGGAGCAAATGGGCTCCCAGTTCTTTACCTTATTGACACTGGGGATGATGTCCAGCCTTAGTGGAAACAGTAGGAATATAGCCAGGGATTCCAAGGTGGCGCTTTCATCTCAGGTCTTCATTATTGTGTGGCACACAGATTACTGGATATTGCATAGACATTGTCAGGCATGTGATTATTGTTCATGGTTGGCAGTGGTTAGCGTAGATAGTACAGGAAGCCACTAATCTGGGCCCAAAGGCGTGGAGAAATAACAGAGGTGAAGTTAGCCTGGTTGTGGGACAATCAGCATGTGGAATGAGCCCTCATTGTTTACCCTGAGATCATTCACAAAACACGCAAACCTCATGGTTTGATTTGGCATATTTGTGCAATTTGTGAAGCCTTTTTTTTCTTGTCCCTAGGATGCTGCTTGAAAGTATTGTAAAATACATGCTCACTCACTCACTCACTCATGAAATGGTTTATTTTTGCTCATGGCTGCACATCACAAGTTAAACCAGGTTGTCTATACCTTTTGACAATGCTAGATAATGTTGGATTCCATTAACTAACAATTCTAATCATAAGAAACTTAAGTTTGATTAATATTGAAAGAGAAATACATTAAACATTATATCTTCTTAAATTTTTAGATCACTGCAAAAACCTAAATGGATGTTATGTTTGTTTCTATATTTTGACCACTGTGTTCTGTAAAAGGAAACAGGAACAAAGCTGAAGATGGAACTGTAGCATGTTTTATGAAATTCTAGTAGCGTTTATCCTGTCTGTACACTCTAACATGGTTTGGTCTTCATGATTCGGGGATTCAGCTGTGATAGTGCTGATGGCAGGGTACCACTCACAATAATCACTTTTGTAAATCGTAATGTTTATCGAAATGATTGGAATCTGTGGTGTGGTAGACTTCATAGGCTTATTTATAAATCCTAATCAGTTGGATAACGTATGGGACTGACTCTGGTCTTTGACCTGGCAATGGAGAACCCCAGTGGCCCTGATCAACCTCCCTCCATCTGCCCTGGCCTAGAAACCAACCAGATGGGAGCAGGAACTGTAGGGATATCTGTTCAGAATTGATTCAGTGACCGGCCTTCCATTCTAAATCCAAGTAGACATCAATTAGGTTGTGTTATGCTACTAACCCTTCTCCACCTAACCCAGTCTCCACTTCCCTTCCTACCATTAGTTCATCATAGGTCCACAGGTGTCACTGCCAAGTGAGGGAGAATTGATTTGGGAGACTCAGTTACACATTGGCAACAGTGGAGCAAGACTTCTTGGTGATAATGACCTTAATGATGTGAGGAAACATTGGTCTAGCTAACCATCAGCGATGAAGGAAAAGTCCATTTGTTTTTAATTACTGTTGCTCAGTGATTGTAGTTAAATGCACAAGAACTGTTTACTGTATCCATCTTTCTGTCCCCTGAAAATATTAATTTAAAGTTAATTTTATGATGTTGACTTTATTCAGGTCTAAACCCTTCTCAGTGTCACATGTCAGGAGCTGCATTCATCTTCCTCTGTTCCTCACAGTTGGGTTTTGTGGCCAATCAACTTACAGACAGGATCCCCACTTCGACATCACTCATGACATTGCCACCTTCCCATTCCCACCACTTGAACCACCATACTTTGTATCCAACATTTGGCTTGCTACAATCTTTGTCCTACGATGCCCCAATCACTTCTTCTTTCCTGCCCTCATGCGCTCCCGTCTAGGGGAGGTAGTTTATCTCAGACTGGGGGCTCTTCACAAAGGACTCAAACAGAATACAAGTCTTTGATCATCGATGGCTAATTTGTCCCGTCATTAGCCACCACTGCAAGACGCAGGTCCTACAACCTTCTTCAGCATCATATGCAGATATTTTGATTGCATAATTAGATTTGATCAAACTTCAGAAGCAGTGTATCCTTCTCATTCCTGGCTGCATCAAGATCCATCCCAGCACTAATATAACTTATCAAAGTTTGGAAAGATTTAAGACTTTATGATCAAGATGTGGCAGGTCCGTGATCAGGTTTAATTACAATTAGCCTGTTGTTGAGGGACATTGTAGCTGCCCTAATGGCCACTGTTTACATCAATATCACTTGTGACAGAACATCAATTCTGGGGTAGAAATATCAGCAAATCTGAAGCTTTCATCCCAGCTTGGTCAAGATACACATCTGAAAATAGTTGTCAAAAGTCAATACCACCAGAATCAAGGGTGTGTTGTGTGCCTGGCCTTCACAACATCACTCTGTGCAATCAATTGGTTCTCAATGGCATCTAGATTGAGGAAGTGCTGAAGGGCTGTGATCAGTCCTCTGCAGGTCAGACTTGAAGATTACTATCATAACACAGTTAATGATTACATGGCCAGCAAACTGCAAAGGGAGTTACAAACAAACATGTATTTATCAGCCTTTGGATTTCTAAAGAACTCATTTTGAAGGGAAGCATGTTTTTTCTTGTATATTTCAGGTGAAATATAAATAGCAGGACTAGGCAGGAAGGAGTTAATGGGTTTGTTGGTTAGGCTCCATCAAGTCAATCTTGGTTTAATTGTTTGATTTTCCTTATTTTTTATTTTCCAGCAAGTAATATGTTCAAAAGAAATCAGAGCCATGATGAACTATGGTAATTGGTCTGATGTTGTCAGTCAGAACATTTCTGTAGTTAACCATTGTGAAAAATAGAATTTATGTCACTTTTTCTCTTGCTTTCAGATCAAAGCAGCTTATCAAAGATGCTATTCTTGACAACGACTTTCTCAAGAATCTGGATGCAACGCAAGTTCGAGAAATCGTTGATTGTATGTACGAGAAGAAAATATGCCGTGGTCAGCACATTATACAAGAGGGTGAATCAGGACAGCATCTGTATGTCTCTGCAGGTGAGTCCAATGGTTGGTGAGTGGAGAAGGAAGGAATATGTGAACCAAGGTTCTCCACATATATCTGGCAATGTAGGAATAAAGGTGTAACAACTGATCCAACCAATTGCAGCCACACTTATAAAGCTATTAATGGCCATTACGCTAGCACTCATTAAATACACGTAATGAAGCTTGGTATGTAGTCGTTAGTCTTAAGCATGTGTGTTTAAGTCATCTAAGTATTATGTAAAAAGATTTTGAAATGCTTGGAACTTTGTTCAATAGCTGTATTTTATTTCAAACTGTTGGCTAGATATGCAGGTGAGCTACTGTACATAGTTTACTGGCTGTGTGCATTTAATTTTTTCCCAACAATTTTGTTTGAATAAACTTCGATGTAAGAAAGTTTATGGATCTTGTCAGCAGATATAAGCTCTTTAGATTACCTCTGCTTGAATATTCAGTATAACATTGATCAATGATTTCAATATGTTTCCTACACAAGATCTTCTACTGGTGTTGTGTATCACTGTGGTAGTGATATATATAGAGTTCCTGTCTCATTGGGGAGCCTATTCCTCTTTTGCTGATTAAAATGACATATTGTGTAGCAATTTGAGCCTTCACTTCCCCGAAAACAAGCACTTGCTGATGATTGTGAGAAGGAAGACTGTTATATGATGCCTGTAAGCAAGCAGTAGCTGAGAGTGTGAGCGATGTGTTGTGTGTGACTGTATCCCTCAACCCAGGCTGCAATCTCATTACACCATCTTGTTCACAGACAGCGTATCAGTGTGACAGGAATTGATTGTAGGCTAACTGAACATATTTCCTGGCGGGTCTACAAGTGTTTCCTCTGAACATCAGAGGCCATCTATTTTGGTCAAGTGTTTGGATGTGAGGCCTGTCATCACACTACCTGATTCATCCAGCCAGCCACTGTGTTGTCCAGGCAATGGCCATACAATACACTAGCATTAGTTCCAACAATTGGCACTGGCCTGTTACGTTTAATGTGAGAAGATGTCAGTGCTTGTTTGATGCTTCATTAACATGACTACTCTGATCATTGTCTGGGAGTCGGGGTCCAATATTACAGTCACAATGAGATTTGTGGTGTCTTCTGCGCTACTGATTAATGAGCTGGCTGACAGTGCTGATTAAACTGTTGTATTGATCACAGTGGAATACAATGTTGGGTAATAAGCATGAATCGTGGTAAATACTTAAGATGTATTAGTTTTAGCTGCTGTCTTTTAGTGGCACCGGACACATTATTGGTTGGACACAATATCAGTGTTTCCCAAGTGTCCAGGATCCAGTTATACCCAATTGTACAGTTAGACTGGGTAGATAGATTACAGTCCAGTAAAGACGTTAGTATGACATTCAGTGCTATATTGGTTCAGAAGAAAATTAATTATCCTCACAAAATACATCCAGTCAGCCTTAGGATTGTGCTTGTGATTAGAGTTGACTGAATAGAAACCAGTTTGACACAGATGTATTTGAAACATAAACTGATAGTCATCTGTCAGTCGTAGAGCAGATACTGTTATCTTGGAAGCTCCCTCCGATTGTTGTCTGATGTGAGATTGTTTGATTGCTTGCGGATGATAGTCTCCTTCACCTTATATGTCTTCCTATCATGAAATGCTGGGCTGTTCTCCGCTGTCCACATTGAAGGAAGTATGATAAAGTTTAGCCTTATCTATAATCAGTATCTTCCTTGTAATTGTACAACAGTTCTTACCCATGGGCAGTACTTTCCGCTTAAGGTGCCAGTGGTTTTAACCTTGCCCAATACCATCCCTCACTCTCCAAGATAGTTTCCACAATGATTCTGCAGGGACTTCCCAATGTTATGCCTGAATCAATATCCTGTTAATTGAGTGTCGCAGAGCGTGTATGCTTGGACATTTTATTGCCCAGCTATTGGGAGAAGTGCCCGTCTATTGGTTGTCCGTCCACACAACTCAAGCTCAGTTTCATCAAGATTCCTGCCAACCACTTTTTTGTGGCCATCTGAGCCTGTTTATTTCTCCCCTATAACAACAGTTCATCAATAAACCTTATGGTTGACTTGTGTGATGTGAAGAGGTAAATGCTACAAGAGTGAGCCTTGCGTTAGTGCAGGCTTTACGACCTGTTCTCCAGTAAATGACAATGAGTGAAACGGAACTGATTGTCGAGTTTGAAGAGCAATCGGTTTTATAGAACAAACATGAATGTGTTGGCTCAGCAGAGCTTCAAGATAGTGTGCAAGAAGATGTCTGAGTGAGTCACAGGACGTTTATTTCCATCAATCTCCCTGAACAGGTGCTCGCCAGTCTCAGGTTGAACCCAGGTGTCACATATCTATGATAGGATGAGGTGTGTGAAAGGCTGTTTTGACATACAAATTCCACAGTCAGGTGAAAAATGGTATGCAACTTTCTGAAAGTGTTCCAATGGGAATGAAAAGTAGTTATTTTGATTAACTTGTAAATTTTAGACAATGAAACACATGAGAATTACAGAGGAAATGTTTCCGTTGTTAAAGCCAAGTTAGAGGGCTATTATATGGTGGCAATGGCTTACTCCAGAGACCATATAATATGGTCTCTGCTGACTCTAACTACCTTAATGACATTAATCATCACGCTGGCCATCAAATATACCTGTATTATTCCTTATGAACAACAACTACTGAATGGCGTTATTTACATATGTTCTGTAAAGGGGCAGATGTGATACCCTGAAGCCCAGTGTGCAGCAGGCCGACCATCATGCTACATGTGTTGAGCTTGGTGTAAGATACAGAGTGTAGAGAGTAGGTTATGATAGGGAAGTATCTTTGTCCTGACATCCTGGAACCAAACAAACCCAATACTGTTTGTGTTGTGAATCACCAGATGCTCCAAGCATTGTCACTCCCAAGATGACCTTGGAGTACATGGAGCTTCATTAGAACCTGTGTAGGGAGAGATTGTTTCAGTGGGATGCCTGTGGGTCCACAGCTGTGTAGCGGCTGGTTCTGCAGCTGATCAGGAATCTCTAGTTACCCTGCGGATGTATACGTCTGCTCACGCTGTCCATTAGTGCAGCGTATACATGCACAGCAACAGGAAGACACCACTGAGAATGACAGGAGAGCACAGCATGCATGTTCCATTGCTTTCTAAACATTTGATACATTTAAGCATTCCGAAAATACTCATCCATTCTCAATTGTAAACAATATCATGAACTGCAAAATAATGGTGGTTTTGATTTCAATTTTATAGGGAATATAGCTGGTTTTATAAGAGCACATTTCTACTGAGGTGTTCTGGGAAGAGAGAAACTTGAATGTCTGATATATGTTCTACCCAACTTGCCATTCCTGGGGCAACCGCTGTTGGTGTTCATCTTCCAGACAGTTTCACCTATGGGTTCAATAACATCAATCTCTTCTTCCCTTAAACAAAGAAATGTTAAAACAAATCAACAAATTCTCTTTATTTCGATCTCAGGGTTTTTATTCATTAGCACATGTCTGAAGGAATGTTTATTTTCACAATTACTGCCTTGGCTACAGCTGCAGGAGTGGCCAGTCTGTGCTGTGTATAAAACCACACATAACTAGCTAATATTTCTTTACAAGTCCTAAAAATAAGACTTGTGTTGCTTCAAGAAAAAGGCTGATAGCTCCGATAGAGCTTTCAGTGTTTTGTGTTTGATGCCGAGGGGAAGTGATTACTAACTGGCTGTGGCAATGACTTCGGAGGGGAAGGGCCATCTCAGTCATTCACAGTCACCGTCAAATGGACTTTTTATGTCAATAATCAATTCTCAGATTATGGCAAAAATGGTTTTATTGCTTGAGCCAAGAGGGAATTGATTCTGGGCGTTTTGTTTAATGGAGTAAGGCACAATGTCGACAGCTCCCTAAGTTGGAGAAATAAACACGTTGACTCAATATGTCATCAGTCACTGGAGTCAGGAGAAACGTTGCTCTTTAGAACTACCTGTTAAATTATCAATTCTTAATAAAAGATATTGAACGTTTATTGATACTGCAAATTGATGAGGATTTCAAACAAGTTAGTGGAAGTTAACATGCAGGCAGGACGTCAGATTGGTGTTATGTGCTCTAGCATGGCTAGGTCTCAACACTGTATATTTGGTTCAACTGAAAGAATGACAAAAAAATATCATGTCTCGTAAATGTTTCTAATGATACCAAATTGTAGTTATAATCAGAAATATGACAAGAAGAGTTTAATTATGGCATCTAGAACAGGAAGATCTGATCTACATGAAACCATTAAGATAGCATTGACAAATGGTGATAATGAGTATAATATATCAAGACAAGTAAACTCTCATGATATGTATTGTATCTTTGAGGTTTGAATTGTTTTTTGGGTTAGTTAGAACTTACTAAAGTGGCTTGGGAATAAGATGCTTATCATCCAATACAACATTTTTAAGTTCTTACGATTCAGCTGTGTATTAAGAAGAGTCAGGTAGACAAGTGGTAGAAGTGAAGGTTTGATCCTTGACGTGGGCACAATATGTGAAGAATCCATCTTTCTGTCTACACTGTGATGTTTCTGGACTACTACTACTGATGATAATATGTGCATTTATAATGCGCTAAACTCCATTCACTAGGTGAATGCTCATAGTGCTAATGGGGGGGGGGTAGCCTAGTGGTTAAAGCGTTGGCTCGTCACGCCGAAGACCCGGGTTCAAATCCCCACATGGGTACAATGTGTGAAGCCCATTTCTGGTGTTCCCCGCCGTGATGTTGCTGGAATATTGCTAAAAGCGGCGTAAAACCTAACTCAGTCAGTCAGTCATAGCGCTAACAATCAAAGCACAGCACATTATTACCCCGGATAACACAACCTGCCTGTGAGGTGCTAGAAGGTGAATAGTCACATGGCTTATCCCACCGGGTACCCTTTTTCTGCTGGGTGAGCAGAGGCATAAAAAATAAACATGCTCAGTCAGTCACTCACATGTCTTTCAGAGGGAGAGCTGGAGGTTCAGAAAGAGGGTCGGACGCTGGGCAGGATGACACCGGGACGTGCGTTCGGGGAGCTTGCCATCCTCTACAACTGTACCAGAACTGCCTCTGTCAAGGGTAAGTCAGCTCACTTAGTGGCTGGGAAATCTGTGGAAGCATGAACCTGTGGCATCGTTGAGAAATTTCCTTGGGTTCGATGAGGTTTGGCTTCAGCAAGATGCTGGTTAAATTTAATAAAAAATACAGCTATGATCATTAATGATTTTTCATGACAATATACAAATTGTATACAAGAACTACATGTACAACACAACATGCACCTTAACTAAACAACATGGACAACCCAGTAAAGCTGAACTTAAGCTGCCACAACTGATCAATTACTTATCATTATATAGAAATGCCTCATACGACAAGATCCATGGATTGTCATTGGCCAGGAATTGAAAACAGTATTTTTCACTTCAACACTCGTCTTCAGATCAACTCACTCAATATTCACTTTAGTCATGATTGTTAACTTTACAAATCTGATTATTTCACTTCAAAATTGTTGACACTCATGTCACTCTGTATAAGATTACGCCAGGACACCCTTATAATATGTATACTCACCTGCGACTCTAAACACCCACCTGCCTGACACCCTGAATACCCATCTCTGCCAACCCTGATCACCCATCTGCCTGACACCCTGAACTCCCACCTGCCTGACACCCTGAACACCACCTGCCTGACACCCTGAACACCCACCTGCCTGACACCCTAACACCATCTGTCCGACACCCTGATCACCCACCTGCCTGACACCCTGAACACCCTCCTGCCTGACACCCTGAACACCAATCTGCCTGAGCACCCACCTGCCGGACACCCTGAACACCCACCTATCTGCCACCCTGAACACCCATCTGCCTGACACCCTGAACACCACCTGCCAGACACCTTGAACACCCACCTGTCTGACACCCTGAACACCCATCTGCCTGACACCCTGAACACTCACCTATCTGACACCCTGAACACCCACCTGTCTATCGACCTTGACCCTGATGTGTATGTTACAGCGGTGGTTGATGTAAAGGTGTGGGTGCTGGACCGCCGGATCTTCCAGGCCATCATGATGAAGACTGGTCTCCAGAGACGAGAGGAGAGCACCAGGTTCCTCAGAAGGTTGGTGCCATTCATCACACTAAACCTTTTAGTCTCTTGTCAGTGAGATATTGCATACCAAATTATATCATTTGCTGTCATTTACCTAGTGTCCTTGCATTCCATCCTTTCTTTCATAGGTTCTTGGGTTTTTATTTAGGTTTTTAGACATTTACCTGTCATGATACAAGGTGAAGCAATTTCAAGGGTATTTGTCAGTCTGGGATCATTACAACCCGACAGGCTTAAATCACTGCTCATATAATCCACAACACTAGTTTGCCAGATAGAGGCAGAATTACATTACATTCCACCATGATGGCCTTGATTCATTTAGTCCTTTTCTTCACTCATTCAGTTATCTACTGAAAGTTAAATCGGTACAGAGTTGGACTGACAATGGCCCGGAGGTAGGAATCTTATGGATACACTAATCGGACAGTTGTTTTGCGTCAATATTTACCCTTCTATTCCCTGGTGACTAGACGATATTAGGGTTTGATATTTCCCTCCCAAGGCAGTGTGACCATGTGTGTGTGTGCTGCGTGATGACGTGTGTGCTGGAACTCATGAGGCCTGCATTGTGGTTGTCTGGTGATTGCGATGACCATCTTGGCTGCTACCATGGCAGTAATGAGAGCCATCTCCACCAGCCATCTCCCAACAATGGGGAAGCAGAACAAAGTGTGCATTGTGGTGTCCAAGGACCTCTAATTGCCATGTTTCATGTTTGGGGTGGACTGTCCCCGTAGGCAAATGCCAGCGGGCCGTCAACTCGCACACTCAATGCGGCACCAATTAGTGGACCCAACATCAGACTAGGGGAATGAGATATTGAATCTGGTGTCATGTGGGGGCCAGGTGTCATGTAAAGATGTCATCTAAAGAGAAATAAATGTTATATAGATAGGCGAATGTCATGTAGAGGGAGTTCAGGTACAATGTAAAGGAAGTATCAGGAGTTGATAGAGAGGTATCGCATTTCATGTAGAGAAAGACCAAATGTCATGTAGAGAAAGACAAATATCATGTAGGGAAAGACAAATATCATGTAGAGAAAGACCAAATGTCATGTAGAGACAAATATCATGTAGAGAAAGACACATATCATGTAGAGAAAGACACGTATCATGTAGAGAAAGACAAATATCATGTATAGAGAGAGATAAATGTCATTTAGAGAAATACAAATATCATGTAGAGAAATATCAAATGTCATGTAGAGAAACACAAATATCATGTAGAGAAAGACCAAATGTCATGTAGAGAAAGACAGGTGTCATGTAGAGAAAGACAGTTGTCATGTAGAGAAAGACAGATATGTAGAGAAAGACAAATGTCATGGAAAGACCAAATGTCATTTAGAGAAAGACATGTCATGTAGAGAAAGACAAATGTCATGTAGAGAAAGACAAATATGTAGAGAAAGACCAAATGTCACGTAGAGAAAGACATATCATGTAGAGAAAGACAAATGTCATGGAGAGAAAGACCAAATGTCATTTAGAGAAAGACATGTCATGTAGAGATACACAAATATCATGTAGAGAAAGACCAAATATTATGTAGAGAAAGACCAAATGTCATTTAGAGAAAGACATGTCATGTAGAGATACACAAATATCATGTAGAGAAAGACCAAATATTATGTAGAGAAAGACAGATGTCATGTTTAAAGGGGTCAGGTATCGTGAAAAGTGTGTCTTGCCATGTCATGTCAAGAGGAACCACATATCGTGCAATCACATGTATAGTAGACTAATGTCATGTGGAAAAGGAGTTTGATGTCATGAAGAGAGAGGTTAGGTGTCATGTAGGGAAGGGGTCATGTATCATGAAGAGGTGGTCTAGGTGTCATATAGCGATAGTCCTGATGTCTTGTAAACAGATGCTGGTGTAATGTCGAGTGGGATCAAGTTGCATGTAGTGGCAGAAACAGAGTGAGTGAGTTTGGTTTTGCACCGCTTTTAGCAGTATTCCAGCAATATCACTTCAGTAGAAACCCGAATAGAACTTCACACATTGTACCCCTGTGGAGAATCGAACCCAGGTCTTCGGCATGACAAGCGTAACGCTTTAACCACGAGGCTACCCCACAGCCCCTCATGAAGAATGAGGTCAGTGTCATGAGTTAGGTGTCACATAGAGAGGGTGTCGGTGTCATGTAGAGAAGACGGGAGGTATTGAAACTGGTGTGATGTAGAGAGGCTGTCAAGACCCAGACTGTGGTGTGTAGTGGGGAAGCCCAGCTCTCGATGCCATGCCGCTGATGTCTGTGTCAGATGAAGGAGTGGTAGTCTGGTGCACAGCTTCAGCTCACAGATAATCACCACACAGTTTTAAAAGGTCTCCATCCTTCTGCTGTTCTCTCTAATAGATAGTTCACATGAATAAGCATCAACAAGTAAATATTGATTTGTCAATAATCTGTTATATAGAGGACCCCTTTCACAGTAATTTGGCCCATATTCAAATCCACCATCACTGGCCAAGGTATCTGTTGACAATCTGTAAAACTATGGTATCTGAGATGGCTGTGAAACACAGGACTGTGAGGCTGGTGTTTGAGGTGCTGTGCCTAGCAGCATGTTCTGTAGTGACTGACACCTATCGCCTCACTGTTTGTCAGCAGCCAGCACTGATATTAATGTGATTCGATAGATGGGCCGCACACTGTGTGGCCTGGAATCAGAAAATGGAAGTCTTTAATGAAATGTAGTATTTCATTACATTGTGAAGCACTTGCCGTGTGCTGTAATTATGGCTTGACATTCTGAGCAGGATCGTCTCAGGCATCAGTGAATTGACTCTACTTGGACTTGAAGAGTGAATCAAACATTTGACACAGCCAATAGTGCCTGACCACATCACTTAGTCGGCCCATGGTGGCTGGTCAGGGAGGCCACCCTCTGACATTAATACACTGGCATTTGGAGTCACAAGGACTCTAATTCAACTCATCAGCCATCTTGCATCCTGTTCTGTTAGTGGGATTGGAGAGTCTCCCATGATGCCTGAATGTGTGCCTTATGTTAAACTTCTCAGTCACACAATGCAGTGTGTGTGAGTGTGTGTGTGTGTGTGTGAGAGAGAGAGAGAGAGAGAGAGAGATAGCATGTGACACAATGAGCATGCATGTGTGTGTAAGGATATGGTTTCAGTAACACTCTGTGTGTGTGTGTGTGTGTGTGGTGTCATGGTTTCAGTAACTGAGTGTGAGGTTATAGTTTCAGTAACACAATGTGTGTGTGTGCGCGTGCATGTCAGGTCATGGTTTCAGTAACTGTGAGTGTGAGGTTATGGTTTCAGTAACAATGTGTGTTTGTGCACGTGCACGTGTGTATGTGTGTGTGATGGGTTTCAGTAACTGAGTGTGAGGTTATGGTTTCAGTAACACAATGTGTGTAGGTGAGTGAGGTTATGGTTTCAGTAACTGTGTCTGTGGGAGAGGTTATGGTTTCAGTAACACAATGTGTGTAGGTGAGTGAAGTTATGGTTTCAGTAACTGTGTGTGTGAGAGAGAGAGAGAGATGTTATGGTTTCAGTAACACAATGTGTGTAGGTGAGTGAGGTTATGGTTACAGGAACTGTGTGTGTCTGTGTGAGAGAGGATATGGTTTCAGTAACTCTGTGTGTGTGAGGTTATGGTTTCAGTAACACAATGTGTGTAGGTGAGTGAGGTTATGGTTTCAGTAACTGTGTGTGTGTGTGTGTGTCTGTGGGAGAGGATATGGTTTCAGTAACACAATGTGTGTAGGTGAGTGAGGTTATGGTTTCAGTAACTGTGTGTCTGTGGGAGAGGTTATGGTTTCAGTAACACAATGTGTGTAGGTGAGTGAAGTTATGGTTTCAGTAACTCTGTGTCTGTGTGAGAGAGAGAGAGAGAGATGTTATGGTTTCAGTAACACAATGTGTGTAGGTGAGTGAGGTTATGGTTACAGGAACTGTGTGTCTGTGTGTGTGAGAGAGGATATGGTTTCAGTAACTCTGTGTGTGTGAGGTTATGGTTTCAGTAACAATGTGTGTAGGTGAGTGAGGTTATGGTTTCAGTAACTGTGGGTGGGGTATGGTTTCAGTAACACAGTGTGTGTGTGTGTGAGAGAGAGAGAGTGTGTGAGAGAGAGAGAGAGGTTATGATGGCTTTTCCTTTGGGAAAACGCTGTGTCTCCCTGTCCCTCAGGAACACTATGTGCCTCACTCAAGGACAGCGTTCACCCTTGGGATGTTGAGGATGTCCATGTGTGCCATTATATGGCACAAGAGTAACTAACCAGATCTACTGTTTTGTCATTCCTTTGAAAATACTGATATTCTGTCACAGTTTAGTCACTGGTTTGTAGCAGTAGTCCTTTCAGACAACTGATGCATTTTTGTTGTCAAATGTCGTTCCAATGTCTTTTGAAAAGAGCATATTTTTTGGTTTGGATGATATGATGTCTTTTCAAAGTTACTTTTGCCCTCAAGGGTGGCTATGTCAGTGTGCATTAGGTCCACACTCAACGGTTCTTTGTCTGCCCTGTAGTTTTTTCAGCCATCCTCTCAATTGCTCATGGAAGGACTCTTGATCTGTTAGGAAGAAGTGCAACAATTTTTAGGAACAGTTCCCTCGCCCCACAGGTCTCTAGAATCAATATGGAGCTTTTCTCCATAGCTATTGCAAGTGTCTTTTTCCTCCTTGGTCGTGGGCCTATTATAGCTCATTTGTGACACAGAGTGCACTGTTTCTGGGGGCAGATTCACTAGCAGTTGAAGTGATCTGCAGCCCGAAATAAAGATTGAGCATATGGTAATATATAGAAATAAAGATTGAGCATATGTTAATATATAGGAATAATGTGACAGAAAAAATAATAAAGTAATGCAATTTAAGAAAGAAAGAGTGATTTTTTGAAAGGATGAATTATCATATTACATACAGCCTTAACTATTTAAGGATACGTATTAAATCTCAACTGTTGAAAACTTGATGTAAAGCAGATCTTATGTGATCATGTTTTATGGTATATAGTGAGTTACAATGCAAATGCTTTTCATTGTTTCCAGTGTGCCTTTATTGAAGAATCTGCAGATCGACAAGCTTGCCAAGATTGCTGATGTTTTGGAAATAGTGAGTAGTTACAGTCAATCCTGGTTAATAATCAACCTTAGGCCAGACCAATTCTATTTCATGTTTTACAGATTTTTGTCCGTAAGGGAAAAAATAAAAATAAAATCACCTGTCAAAGTAAATACTCAAAGTATGTTACTTTTGGCAATTTAAGAAGTGTATATTGGGCACACAAAAAAACAATCTAAAAACAAAATTTCTTGTATGTTTACATTTCTGACTAATAAAAACATTAGGATTTTATTTTTTGAGCGGGGAAAATGAATTTTAATTTTTTTTCTTATTCTTGAAAAAATATGACAGGCGGATCCGTAAAACAAGAAATAAAATTGGTCTGGCCTGACGTGTATTCATGAGGCAAGGGTTTTCTATGTATTACACATGTGTTTGTAATGTTTTTACTTCCCCTTGCTGTGTATTCAAACATTGACAGTTTCATGGATACTTTGCCTGTCACGGCAGCAGCTCCCACAAACATGGACACCTATACAGTTGGTGTGTATTCCAGGAAACAAAACTTAAAGATAGGACCCTGTTTTGGACAGAATGTTATATAAATTGGTGTTTGTTTATAGGCAGTTAGTTGTGGGACTCAACACATATGCTCCAGTTTTTTCAATGTGTACAATTTTGACTTTGCTGTGACCTTGTTATCAAAATGCATAAAATGCTCTGTAAATTTCTCTGAAGTTAACGACCTGAACTTTGGTGTGTACTTTTTCTTTAGAGTGACATTCGATTTTAGTTTTAGTCCACCATATTCATACCATCATTTGTCCACAACAATTTGTATGTGACTATCGCTTGTTGGCAGTTTGTATGTGACTATCTCAATCTCTTGTTGGTAATTTAAGCTTTTGACTGCATATCTAGGTCTGCTACAGAATTATTTTCCCTTCTGTGTCTAGGTATTTTTTGAGACTTGAAGTTTGGAACACAATTAAATTATTCTTTCCTAAGCTTAGATAATAGTTCCAATGATGCACTTAAGACTATTTGATGTAATGAAGGATGATGTTAATGTCATAAGATCAGACACAGACTGTGTAAAATGTCCATTTTATTTAGGGTGATATCAGGAATTGGAGGAAACCAGTTCTTGCAGTTCTTAATGGACATCTGGACAATGGTATATACATTTATTCCCGGTCTGTAAATCACTTTGGAGCTGATACGGAAAAGTTAACCTAATCATCAGTGCCTGATATAATTCCTATTGCAAATATATGTGTACATTTGCTCTGCTGGTCAGTCTGATATGGCGTATGTCTATCCAGGACTTCTTCCACGAGGGAGAGTACATCATCCGCGAGGGGGCCAATGGCGACACATTCTTCATCATCAACAAGGGGGAGGTAAGTACAGAGTCTCTACCATTGGAGGATGCTCAGTTCAGTGAATGCATGAGTGAGTAGATTACAACATAGGTTTAAGCAGTATTCCGGCCATATCACAGTGTGAAGGAACTGGGTGTCATGCTTAGTGGCCGTAGAGGGGAGCAAAATATGAGATGTTCTATATCAAACAAAAGGGGAATAAATTCTTGATTATTCAACATGTCAAATATTAATTATGTCAAAGGAAATCAGATAAGTGCCACAGCATTGTTTAAACTATGGTGTACCTATGTTGTACCCATGTTCCCAAATGTCATTGCACTGTGTGACGACTTCTGTGAAATAATGCTGCATATCGGAAATTTAGTAAATTTATATAAATAAATATCCATTATTGATATTTATGATGATACCCATGTGGTTCAAATATTGAAAAGTTAAATATTGTTTATTATCTAATTTATTGGTAACTGTTAATACGCTAAACTGTCACTAACAACAAACTGATTCTTGCAGGTGAAGGTCACTCAGACAATACAAGGTTATGATGAACCGCGGGAAATCCGCCGATTGAAACGTGGTGACTACTTTGGTGAAAAAGCATTATTAAGGTAAAGAGGCATAGCATACTGTTATATAATTCATGTTCACATTGATTATATAACATTACACCAAGGCTGCCACACTAGATATTACCGCCAACAGCTGTCAGTATCATCCCTATACTACCAAATGATGTAAGTCCACAAGAAGGGTTGGCACATGCTTTTCAGTAGACTGTGTAACCTTATTTGATATGATCATGTTTGTTGCTGTTCCAAAAACTCTTAAGGAATGATTTCCCCAGAGATGGTGGAGATTGGAGCAGCCATAGATCTAAGTCCACATATACACATAAGCATTAAGGCAACACCAACATATATATTTTTGTAAAATTATGGCAAACCCTGATCTAAACATAACTGAACACCTTTAGAGATACCTTGGCCATGAAGTGAGAGCTACAGAACCTCCAGTTCAAAACGACCGTGAAGATCTGGGTTAGAACTGATCTTCAGTAAACCATGCTTGTCATAAGAGGCAACTAATGGGATCGGGTGGTCAGACTCGCTGACTTGGTTGACACATGTCATCTTATCCCAATTTCATAGATCGATGCTCATGCTGTTGATCACTGGATTGTCTGCTGAGTCTGTTCAAAACCGGAATAAACTGATCAAGTTTCACCACATCATTAAAATGTTGAAACTCAGATGTCTGATCAGCACCATGAGCTGATGCCTCAGGAATGTCTTCCCTGAGAGGAGTTGATGCTCCAGATGCTGACTGCAGAGTCAGTGCTGATCCCTAGGTTGGCAATAAACGTTTCATACTGCATAATGTGACAGTCAGACCCATAGTGTGGGCTGGGTGCTGATCATTTTTAGATTTTTTTAAATGAACATTCTTCAAATTGTTCACATAGCACCAATTACTGGGTACTGATTGTTAATGTCAGTTTCAATATTAATGTGATGGTAGCACCTGGTCTTCTGTTTGCCTACTCTTGTGTTGTGTTTGCTTCAATGAATGACATTTTCCCTTCATAGCACAAAACAGTGGAAGGGCCATTTTAATACTCACATGTGTGTTTGCAGGATTCCATAAGCTTTACATTCTACATGATTTCCTTGTAGCGAAGACTGCCGGACGGCCAGCGTGATAGCCCAGGCCCCTGGAGTCGAGTGTCTTACCGTAGATCGAGAGTAAGTAGTTCTGCTGTTATACAGTTTGTACAAGAAGTAATCATTTTTCATGAAAGACTGAGTAGGTTTCTAAAATTCTCATGGCAAGATTCCGGTATTATCGTGGAGAGAACACCAAGAAACTGGCTTAAATTTCTGTCTCCATTTAGAAACTCCCACCTGTTTTGTTGTTGTGAGCAATGAACATGTTATCACAAGCTGCATCACTGTCATTCTCTTCATGAAAGTACTCAGGCTTCTTCTGTTTGTTCAAACTTGAGATCTGCTGCAAGTTGGTTGACGTTAGATGTGAGAGACTTCATATCTGATATACCTCCAAGATACCCTCTATACTTTTATGACATCCACGGTTTCCAACATGTCATGGCTGGTCAAGACATCCCCACATGATTGTATACACACAATAGATTTAGCTTTTAAGACTAAACGTTGAGGAATCTTTAAAACACATCATTGCTTGGCAGTCTGTTGCTAAGATTGAAGATCCAGATCATCAAACCAGAAGATCTTTGTTACTAAGCCAGCTTGCATTGCAAAGTTGTTCTGTATTTTGGCATGTATTTTCAAAAATAGAATTGATGTTATTAAATAAAAGATTCTAATAAGCTTGTTATTATGGTAAATAGATCAATATTCAGGGTATGAAATAAGGCCCGTCCGACCACCTGAGACAGCTAGCCAGCCCGATGGTCTGGTAAAAATTTTAGATTTTCCATACATCTGAGTTAATTCACCATATTTAGTCTGGTTAAATCCATTTGGGGCTGGTAACATTTTGAAGTTACCAGTCCTGATGTCTGGCTGGATTTTTGGCTTATTTCATACACTACAATATTGTTTTCTCTTTCAAACTTGAACTTCATTGGTGATGTGTTTTCCATAACCTGAGCCTGGAATGTTTTAACTAAAGTTGATAGAGGAATGAGACTTCCAGTTGTATAACGCTGGTCGTGTGTTTCCAGATATCTAAAGTGAAGTTACTAAGCTAGAAGTTCTTTAGACTTTTTTCTTATAGATTTGTGCTATAAACTTTCCTGTTTCCCAGTTTGCATTAGATATGTGTGAGGTCAACTATCACCTGATGTGGAATAGGGAAAGTGGTGTACGGTACATTTCTCTGACAGGAATGTTTGAGGGCTTTCAGGACATGGTGGAAAAGAGACTGCTTCTGTTTTTACAAACACCTTTCTGCGCAGTCATTGAAGCACCATGCCTTAGTTCCATGCGGCTCCCAAAGCATCACATTCAATACTGATCCTCAAGTTGGCCCTGGAATTAAGACAGATGAAAAACATATAACTCTGCAGTTGAAAAATATATTACTCTGAAGGTGATATAGATTTGCACTTGTTCAGCAGCAGTGATTCTCATTCTCATAATGGCAGCCATCTTTAAAAAGGCAAACTACATCATGTTTGATGGAGTGTATATGTGAAAATGAGTGGATGTTTTAAAGCTTTCTTTCATGTTCTGATTCCATGAATGCCATTTATGTACCCAGTGGAGATAGAAATATGTATTGATTTCCTTTGGGGAGAAAACTTGCTGTGCCATCATGGAATTAGACTTTGGTCAACCATATCCTGCTATGAGTGGTGAGTTCCACAATATGGAGGCTCAAAACACCCATTTCATTACGAGTTAAAAGCTTGAATAAAATGCGGTTTCCGTAGGAAGGGTTTCATTATGTTATTGTGATGTGACTCAGTGCATGCATTGTTATGATTACGCCGACACTGCACACCGCTCCCACCATTATGGTGCTGTCTCACGTTCACGTCTTTCCTGGGTCTGGGAGAACTTCTCCCATATGCTTGCAATAAAAACCAATTTCTTCTGTACTTGATTAATGTGAACCTTGTTGGGAGGGAGGATTTTTCTCTTTCAAGAGCAATGACAGACCAATCATAGATGAGGAATGGCTTCAGAACAGTGGGAGGGATTCTGTGCTGCATAGGGCCGCTACAATGTCATGGTTATTCAGTTCCATACCGTCAGTCAACACAATGAAGGACGGATTTTCAGAACCATAAACCACTCAGTGTCCTCTTCAACCGCTTCCAGCTCAGAATAATGAGCGTTACTGGACATGTTTAGCCATATGGGAGAGTGAATATGTCTTTGTTCAAGGTTTCCATGACATTTTCTCCATGTCATGGCATTGACATGTCAGTACCTCATTGTCTAAGGTTTCCATGACATTTTCTCCATGTCATGGCGTTGACATGTCAGTACCTCATTGTCTAAGGTATTAATGACATTCTCTCTGTCAGGATGTTGACATGGCAGTACCCCATTGTCTAAGGTATTAATGACATTCTCTATGTCAGGTTGTTGACATGTCAGTACCTCATTGTCTAAGGTATTAATGATATTCTCTATGTCAGGATGTTGACATGTCAGTACCCCATTGTCTAAGGTATTAATGACATTCTCTATGTCAGGTTGTTGACATGTCAGTACCTCATTGTCTAAGGTATTAATGACATTCTCTATGTCAGGTTGTTGACATGTCAGTACCTCATTGTCTAAGGTATTAATGACATTCTCTATGTCAGGTTGTTGACATGTCAGTACCTCATTGTCTGAGGTATTAATGACATTCTCTATGTCAGGTTGTTGACATGTCAGTACCTCATTGTCTGAGGTATTAATGACATTCTCTCTGTCAGGATGTTGACATGGCAGTACCCCATTGTCTAAGGTATTAATGACATTCTCTATGTCAGGTTGTTGATATGTCAGTACCTCATTGTCTAAGGTATTAATGACATTCTCTATGTCAGGTTGTTGACAAATCAGTACCTCATTGTCTAAGGTATTAATGACATTCTCTATGTCAGGTTGTTGACATGTCAGTACCTCATTGTCTGAGATATTAATGACATTATCTATGTCAGGTGTCTGAGGTATTAATGACATTCTCAATGTCAGGTTGTTGACATGTCAGAACCTCATTGTCTGAGATATTAATGACATTATTTATGTCAGGTGTCTGAGGTATTAATGACATTCTCTATGTCAGGTTGTTGACATGTCAGTACCTCATTGTCTGAGGTATTAATGACATTCTCTATTTGATTCGGCTTGTTGACATGTCAGTACCTGTCAGGTATTAATGTTGTTTTCGCCTGTCACTGAGTTGTTTTCATGCCAAATATGATGAGTGATTCCAGCAAAGATTGATCAGTGTCCTAAAGATGCATGTTATGTCTCCAAATGTTTTCATGTCCTGATCAGATGGATAAAGATTTACTTTCTGGTTAAACAGTTAATGTTCCAAAATAATATAACTCAGCAGACTTAGGAAGTGTATTACTTTCACATTTTTTCTGCTTAATTTGTCCGGTATCCAGTTTCAAATGAGAAATACAGAAGATTACATTTAAGATTCAACAAAAAAATATCTGTTCATACACTTTTAGCTCACCTGGATTGTAGTCAAGTAAACTTCTGCTGCACCCTATCATCAGTCGTAAACATCTTCTTTTCAAAAACAATTGGAACCAATGAACGTGAAAATCAAATACTTGTTCTTATTGATTCCTACAACCTTCCTTCAAACCTGATTTTCAATGTTGGCTGTGGCATCTTTCTTGTGATGCCGCTGTTAATATCGAAAAATCATATTTATGCACATAGTCAGCCATTATTTTTAATACAAAATTTGATTCATGTGCATTTAGAATTTTAATTTTAACCTGGAATGAAATGTGGGATATGTGTAGTTAGTAGTAGAGTTCAAGGTTTGGGGAAAACTTTAATTTGACCATTGCACTTTGACCAAATTTCCTATTTGTGTACCTGATGAACCAGATTAGAAGAGCTGGTGATGGCCATTGCACAGTCATATTTGTGTTGGAAATGGAAAGAACTTGTACAGGTGTAGTTAGTATAGAGCTTCAACACATTTGATCTGTTCAATGTATGTTAAATTTTGGCTTTCTCAAAACAGGATGCTTGTAAATATTTAATGGCAGAACTTGATAGACTGTAGTGCTCTCACTGAGTACTTGGGACTGGGTCTGTTTCAGAAAGTATCAAGCCCTTTATTGACAATTCAAGAACTTAGAGGATATAACTTTCAGGCAGGCACATACTGTGCTTACTACAACACACATGGTATATGATGAAAGAAGATGTTTCACTGATGTGGTCAACTACGCTACCATTGAGAGCTTGTGTATATATGTAACAGCATTGATAATATTTCTACTCAGGTTTGCTACATATTTAGGTGAGCTACAGTGTCCATAGCACAATTTCAGGAGCCTATCCAGTTTTCTTTTCCAAATTTGATAATCTGGGACTATATTTTCGAAGCTTTCTTAGCGCTAAGATAGTCATAAGTGCCATACCTTAACATTAACTTACGACTATCTTAACCCTAAGAGAGCTTCGAAAATCTAGGTCCTGGTCTACAGAACTGAAATAGTCCCTACTGTAGTAACAGTCCCATCAATCAGCAATCACCAGCAACAAGCTGGGTGACAACTGATCAAGCTTGTCAGACCTGCTGTGTCAGTAATGTGAAGTTGTGACGTGGTGAAATTGGCTGCTTGAACCTGATTAATATGACAGGAGGCCCAAAAGATCCCTCAGCGAGCTACGCTATCACTACCCAGGGAACACGGGCAGACGGTTATTACTGTATATCGTATTGGTAACAGGATTGCTGGTCTGGGACTAAACCCATCTGTTTCTGTATAAGAAACATGCTGACATTGAATTAGCCAGCTGTGGCGTCCACTGCTCTCTGTGTGCCATGGTGCATGCAGCCTGTAATCACGGCAACCAGTGGGGCAGAGATGCAATCACGTCTCCACGCAGTCATCCAGCAGAGATGGTTATTACACTCTGCGTGGAATCAAAACATAAAATTATCCCGTGTCTGATTTCGGTAACCTTACCACATTCAACATGCTGGCATCCACCCAGCAGGAACACTGCAGTGCACATCAATATGTCTGATGGCAACATTCTTGCACCAAGACTAATTATCCAATCCCGTCTCAGTGGAGGATTATGACAACAATGATTCTATGTGATGTTACTCAAATTGACCATTCGATAACTCTGCATAATGGGCAATTGATCACGGAGACAAGACACTGCCTCGATATGCACAGACACTGATCGATGCACAGTGTTCAGCCAATACTTTGCCATATTGGCAGACAAATGTTTCTTCTGATAGACCTCATTGATCATCGGTTATGATTATCAGACATCACACCAGATAAAAATGTGTATTTATCATTTTGGAAAAATGATCAAAATCAGACAAATAAATGTGCAGGATATGTGCTGGGCTGAGCATGAGGCCTGATTGTCAGGTGGCTCTGCTTGTCATTGTTGTAATGTACACAGTGTCACTCACACCTGTGAGATTGGCCAACATCGTTCTACGATTTAAACAAATCCTAGGAGCAAGACTTGTATCAAGATGTGTTTGCGAAGTAAGAATTGAATGAATTTTTAAGAAAGGCTTGCATATGATGAAAAACAGCTATTAACAAATCAATATTATCTATGTCTATCTAGGTTACATAAATGCTTTACAATTGATATATGATCTGAATATCCTCACATATTGATTTCACAAAGTCTTGAGGAAAGAATTATTCCACATTTATACTTTTTCTATTGTAAATATTTAATAGTACACTTAAATTTTTAAAAGAACATAACATCTTATTCTCATTATTCTTTGAAAACCAAATAACAGAATGCATAAATTACAGATTATTTCAGTGAAAAAAACAGTTATTTCATATTGATCAGTACATTTCTGTCATTTAATGTTTTCTGCAATAAGAGATGGATTTGATAGAAACAGTGAAGTTTTTTACATGTTTGAAAATATGTTATTTCTTCAACAAAAATTACTGACATATTATACTCAAACTACAACAGATATGATTTTTATTGAGTCATATATGCATCCATTCTCTGTCAACTAATGTTCATTACAAGGGGGCCGTGGGGTAGCCTAGTGGTTAATGCATTCACTCATCACGCCGAAGACCCCGGGTTTAATTCCACACATAGTTACAAACAGTAAAACCCATTTCTGGAGTGTCCTGCCGTGATATAGCTGGAATATTGCTAAAAGCGGAGTAAAACCAAACTCACTCACTCACTCATTACAAGGCATCAATAGCAGTACTCTTGTCATGGCTGAAAATTATGGTGAGTTGGTGCACTGCTGATAACTTCACCCATGGTGTTGCTGGATTTGATGTAAGCAATATTAAATGAAATTTTGAATAGAATTAATTAAAAAAAGTTTAAAATCATAAGTATAGGTATACCCTAAATGCTTTAGAACCAGACAGTATGTTTACATGATTAAATTGCGTATCTAATTTCGTATTGGTAGACATGGTATTTCTTGTGAAAAGCAAGATTTATGGATGTCACCTTCTTTATTGTGAATAACACAACGTTTCGGAGTGTATGCTTGCTCCTTCATCAGGTGTTATTCACAATAAAGAACTTGACATCCATAAATCTTGCTTTTCTTATATATTCCACTTCTAAATGCCCTTCAAAGATTTGATGGTATTTCTTGTGTTATGACCACAGTCATTTATGTCCACGCAATAATGACTGTGCATTGGGGTAAAAACATTCCCAGCTATGTTGGGGCTTTGTAAAAGAAAAAATGCACTATACTCATGAAACACACATCTTCAGATATGTTGTCCGGAGTGGAAATAACTTTAAGATTGCTAGTGTACTCCGGTACAGTAGCACATGTAAAATCACTTGCCCTGATAATTTTTCCACTATACCACTATTTTTTTAAATAAACAACATAATTAATATTGGAAAGTCAACTGGACACGGTACAGTGTGATATACAAATTTGCTTGCCCTACAGAAAAAAACACTGGAGTCGGGCGTCGGGCAATGGGTTGTTTCCACCCCTGGTTGTAGAAATTGTCCATGTTTGTTTGACATGGATCCAGTATGTTTGATGGCATATCCTTGTTCCACAGATCGTTCACACAACTGATAGGGGAGGTGAATGAACTGAAGAATCGGGACTATGGAGATGAAGCCCGAGGTGCCCAAAGGTAGGTCCTCGGTGTTATCTTGTGTCTTCACTGTATGATGATACCTTGCAGACCAATGTACCATCCTTTCACAACGCTTTTGTTTTGTCTCACAGTGTTGTTGTGTGATTAAATGGCATGCATGTATTTCACTTGAATATATGTGTTTGTGATGTAACATGACTGTATTTCTGCACAGTTCACACAGAATATAAAGTCACAGGTTATGCTATACTGTCCCATTGTGTACAGGCACTCTTTACCATACCATATTTCCCTTCCATATACACCCCTCCCTCCTTACACATCCAGGCCATATTTCCCCACCATATACACTCTCCCTCCTTACACATCCAGGCCATATTTCCCCTCCATATACACCCCTGCCTCCTTACACATCCAGGCCATATTTCCCCACATATACACCCCTGCCTCCTTACACATCCAGGCCATATTTCCCCTCCATATACACCCCTGCCTCCTTACACATCCAGGCCATATTTCCCCACATATACACCTCTCCTGCCTCCTTACACATCCAGGCCATATTTCCCCACATATACACCCCTGCCTCCTTACACATCCAGGCCATATTTCCCCACATATACACTCTCCCTCCTTACACATCCAGGCCATATTTCCCCACATATACACCCCTGCCTCCTTACACATCCAGGCCATATTTCCCCACATATACACCCCTGCCTCCTTACACATCCAGGCCATATTTCCCCACATATACACCCCTGCCTCCTTACACATCCAGGCCATATTTCCCCACATATACACTCTCCCTCCTACACATCCAGGCCATATTTCCCCACATATACCTGCCTCCTCCTCTACACATCCAGGCCATATTTCCCCACATGTACACCCCTGCCTCCTTACACATCCAGGCCATATTTCCCCACATATACACCCCTGCCTCCTTACACATCCAGGCCATATTTCCCCACATGTACACCCCTCCCTCCTTACACATCCAGGCCATATTTCCCCATGTATACACCCCTGCCTCCCCTACACATCCAGGCTATATTTCCCCACATATACACCCCCTGCCATATTTCCCCACACATATACACACATCCAGGCCATATTTCCCCATTATGTACACCCCTCCTCCTACACATCCAGGCCATATTTCCCACACATATACACCCCCCTGCCTCCTTACACATCCAGGCCATATTTCCCCACATATACACCCCTGCCTCCTTACACATCCAGGCCATATTTCCCCACATATACACCCCTGCCTCCTTACACATCCAGGCCATATTTCCCCACATATACACCCCTGCCTCCTTACACATCCAGGCCATATTTCCCCACATATACACCCCTGCCTCCTTACACATCCAGGCCATATTTCCCCACATATATACTACCTCCTTACACATCCAGGCCATATTTCCCACATTCCTGCCTCCTTACACATCCAGGCCATATTTCCCCACATATACACCCCCTGCCTCCTTACACATCCAGGCCATATTTCCCCACATATACACTCCCTGCCTCCTTACACATCCAGGCCATATTTCCCTCACATGTACACCTCCTCCTCTCCACATCCAGGCCATATTTCCCCACATGCCCCCCTGCCTCCTTACACATCCAGGCCATATTTCCCCACATGTACACCCCCTGCCTCCTTACACATCCAGGCTATATTTCCCCACATACACCCCCTGCCTCCTACACATCCAGGCTATTTCCTCACATATACACCCCCTGCCTCCTTACACATCCAGGCTTATATTTCACATGTACACCCCTGCCTCCTTACACATCCAGGCTATATTTCCCCCATATACACCCCCTGCCTCCTCTTTACACATCCAGGCCATATTTCCCCACATATACACTCCTGCCTCCTTACACATCCAGGCCTGCCTCCTACACATCCAGGCCATATTTCCCCACATATACACCCTCCCTTGCCTCTACACATCCAGGCATATTTCCAGCTCTCCTTACACATCCAGGCCATATTTCCCCACATATACACCCCCTGCCTCCTTACACATCCAGGCCATATTTCCCTCACATATACACTCCTGCCTCCTTACACATCCAGGCTATATTTCCCCACATATACACTCCTGCCTCCTTACACATCCAGGCCATATTTCCCCACATATACACCCCCTGCCTCCTTACACATCCAGGCTATATTTCCCCACATATACACTCCTGCCTCCTTACACATCCAGGCCATATTTCCCCACACATATACACCCCTGCCTCCTTACACATCCAGGCCATATTTCCCCACATATACACCCCCTGCCTCCCTTACACATCCAGGCCATATTTCCCCACATACACCCCCCTGCCTCCTACACATCCAGGCCATATTTCCCCACATATACACCCCTGCCTCCTTACACATCCAGGCCATATTTCCCCACATATACACCCCCCAGCACTATGCCTCCTCCTACACATCCAGGCCATATTTCCCCACATATACACCCCCTGCCTCCTTACACATCCAGGCCATATTTCCCCACATATACACCCCTGCCTCCCACATCCAGGCCATATTTCCCCACATATACACTCCTCCCTCCTTACACATCCAGGCCATATTTCCCCACATATACACTCTCCCTCCTTACACATCCAGGCCATATTTCCCCACATATACACCTATCCCTCCTTACACATCCAGGCCATATTTCCCCACCATATACACCCCTCCCTCCTTACACATCCAGGCCATATTTCATCATGTTTCCTTTTCAAATCATATTTGCTCTTCCCAGCTCATCCACCTTCTTTCCTTATCTGAGCATGCCAGAACCAACCCAAGCCTCACCCCCCACCCTGCCTCTCACCCCAACCCCTGCCTCAGCTCCTGATCCCACCCTAACCACAGCCTTCCCCAACCCACACCCCCAACTCCAGGCTATATTTCCCACATATACACTCCTGCCTCTACATCCAGGCCATATTTCCCCACATATACACCCCTGCCTCCTTACACATCCAGGCCATATTTCCCCACATATACACCTATCCCTCCTTACACATCCAGGCCATATTTCCCCACCATATACACCCCTCCCTCCTTACACATCCAGGCCATATTTCATCATGTTTCCTTTTCAAATCATATTTGCTCTTCCCAGCTCATCCACCTTCTTTCCTTATCTGAGCATGCCAGAACCAACCCCAGCCTCACCCCCAACCCCTGCCTCGCCCCAACCCCTGCCTCGCCCTGATCCCACCCTAACCACAGCCTCACCCCAACCCACACCCCCAACCCCAGCCTCACCCCAACCCCACCCTCACCCCAACCCCACCCTCACCCTAATCCCACCCTAACCACAGCCTCACCCATACCCCAGCCTCACCCCCAACCCAAGCCTCAACCCCAAGCCCAGCCTCACCCTGATCCCACCCTAACCACAGCCTCACCCCAACCCCAGCCTCACCCTAACATTAGCCTCATCCTAATCACAACCTAATCCCAGCCTCACCCTAACCCCAGCCTCACCCCTAACCCCAGCCTCACCCTCACCCTGGACCCATTATACAAGTTAATCTCAGCATGCAGTCAACTCCAATGCTGAAATTTGGCAAGATTGCCTTCAGCTGGAGACAATATCCATCAAAAGTCTCTCCGCTCATGACTATTCCAATCCCTTTCTTGCCTCCGTGTGATATTATCAGAGATCCTTAGATGGTCATCTTCCTGCTGCTGCTGATACCTTCACCCATCACCATCTGTCCTGTCACTGTATCAGGAGACACAGACACACATGCCAGTCAAGTACAGGACATTTGTCTCTCCAGTTCCTTATACCTGTGCCGAGTTTCAATCCACTCATGATCACTCCCAGTCTTATCAAATTCTTTCCTGATCCTCAGGATGTCAAGAATCACCAAGCCAATAAAAGAACATCAAGGATCAGGTGTAGTCCGTTTGGAGAAAGTTAACACAAAGTAAATCCTTGACATCTGTAGCTTGATTTTTGACCATTAGAATGTACTGGATGCCCTTCTTGTGGCTTGTGCTGCTCTCTCGCATGCTGCCTGACAGAGCTAGTCACTACATACATGGTCCCTATATTTCAGATATTATGCATTTCCTGATTTTGTGAAATCAATTGATTTTGCTTACTTGTAACAGATTGCATTCTGTAATACATCATGAAAGGAGATTGAATATTGCATGTAGTCAAGTCTTCCCCTCAGATGCTGCTCTCATGGCTGGTGCTTAGCATGTGACAGGCAGGTTAAGACTGTTAGGCCCAAGTAATGCTGCTCTTGATCTTCCTCTGACAAGACTGCCCTCTACATGCATGTGATGTGGATTGAGTTGACCTCCTGTGATCCTAGGCCTTAAATACATTAGGAGATGGTTCTGGAATCAGTGGACCTGACAGGTGCTCTACTTGTTCACCAGTTTGCTAGGCTCTCCATTATTTATCTATACCTGATCAAATAACCAGAATCTTAACGGCTTGATCTTCATGTACACTTGTATGTGTGGATTAATTCAGTATGACACTTAATAACCAACCTTTGTATTATCATCTATAACAAGATCTGTTAGAACTTGACATGTCACTGACAGATGGCCTAAGATATCTCTTAAGCAATGAGCAAAGTCAGCCAATTAACTGTCAATCAATTGCAGGCAGTGAGAAATCAAATGAAGGATCTACTCGGTAAATTCCAAATTGGGCATGACAGATGGCAGTGTTGCCAGACAGTATAAGTCAAGAAACGACAATGACATCATATGCAGTGTATCAAGCCAGATTCTTCCAATATGGAAGATATTTGACACACCTAACACACCAGAGCATGGAAACTGAGGGACTTGTTTATAAAAAATATATAAATTACAGCAGAAAACATGGTTTTGTGTCATAAATCCCTAGAACCTATCACAGTAGTCATTTGTTTCAATAAGAATCCCTTGGCAGCTATACATTGAGCAAGTTATGAAGACTTTCCTTACTCTTCAACAGCATCTGACAGCAACATTGTTTAGAATAGAGGCCTTGATTCCCCTCACAGACAGTGGGTGTCCCAGACTTGTCAATAATTATAGCATTGCAGTGATACAGTAAGGTGATGTTTGTGCCTGTGTCTTGCAGCGAGAGGGCAGCTCCCACTGGGTTTAGTCAGGCAGAGCCACCAAAGGCAGCTGATGAACTTATAAAGCCTCTAAAGTAAACATGAACTTTGGTAGCTAGTAGTAGCTCAACAGTATGGACTCCTAGGCCCTTCTAGACAATACTGTAGTGCTGATAACATATTTTAGATAGAGTTCTTCTTTGAACATTTTTATTTCTACTAGAATTAGTCCTGTTTCCTAAGATTAAGTAGAGCTGTTCTAAGGTTATACATGCAACAGTAATTAAGAAACTGTGTCCCACTTGGACATCTCAGGCAGACGGTATCTAGGATATGTCCTATGTAGTTTTGGGAATGTTGAACTGATTAAGTCTTGAGAAACCTTCCTGTAAGGTCAGATCACTGGAATGGACAGTTACAAGCTAGTTCATGGAAGGTGTTAGTAGTTTTGGACAGCGCACAACCAGATTCTCATCATATTTTTAACTTTGTCATATTTAGCGCTGAACACATGTATTTTGTACATGTTTGTAGCCATGTGACAATAATTTGTTCATGTGTCCTATTTTTTAATGTAAAAGGCTACAGAAAAAGTGAATAGGTAATAAAAACCCTGATACAGATATGTCATTTAGCATACATTTCCTCACAGTATTGTATTGGCACAGGTATTGAAAAGTATGGTACTTTGGTTCAATTATCACAGATCTAGAGCATTATTGCGCTGTTCAAAACACATCTCTGTTAAATGTCAAAACATTATTCTGCTGCAGATTTAAGATTCTTTATAAAAGTTCTCCTCGGTATTAAAAATTTCATCTTCTTTTTGTTACTGCAATTTGAGATGCTCGTTGTAACGTAAGCTTGCTTGTTCTGTAGCTGGTCTCCTCCAGAGCAGTAACAGTAATAGCTCTTGTGATAGGCCAGGGACAGTGGAACAGTCCTTTAAGTTCCCTTACTTGTAATGGTGTGGGTTGAGGCTTTAGTAAGCAGTAAGCAATGCCTGCTTGGGGTGTAGGGTCTCCAGAAACATCTTGATATCTGGGTTGTTGTTTGAGAATGCAGCTTACTGTTACTTTGCTGTAAATCAAGGTTAAAGTAGAAGAGTAACAATAGTCTCAGCTTAAGACCATGGTGGAATGAAACAAAGTGTATAGATACATTGTGTACCTACCATGTAGTCACACAGTGAGGGTGAACCTTGACGATTCTCTTGCAAGGCTTTCCTATGTTAAGCATTGACTAAGTTAAGGCTAGGTTTTGTGAGGGTTTAATTATAAAGAATCTTTTCAAACTATTTGTTTCATTCATATTGAAGAATTTAAATTGAATCACTCTTTAGCTAGCTTTTGTATTGTAAGGTCAAGAAAGTTTGAGTGAATTATTGAGTAAAAGTTTATTATGCAGACATACATGTGATTTGGAATCTTATATAGTAATGTAATTGCATCCCTCAAATAGTTTCTCTGTGAGTAGATGTCAATTAACATTACCTATTCATAAGATAGAAAGGAATCAATCATGTTAGATGTACACAGTCAAGCTTGAGTATCTGATGAGCAGAGGGGTGTCAGGTTCAAGCACACAGGCCATGTGTACCTCTGTACCAGCAGACAGCCATGATAGACTTAATTGTCAGCTGTCTATTGATTAACATTTACAGACAACCATGAACATACACTGATTGACTATAGCTCAGTGAAGGCAAGCGTTGGGCTATCACATTGTGACCACCTGTGACCGATCAGAAGGCACCCTCAAGGGTTTCAATAGTGTGTAGACACGTACCAGGAGATTCATGTAGTGTATCATAGTGATTGTACATGACATTCATCAGTATATCATAGTGATTGTACATGACATTTATGCAGTATTTCATAGTGATTGTACATGACATTGTACATTAAATGTGTGTGTTTGTGCTGTTATACTGCACCCTTGTGTGGGAACAAATGTGTGTTTGTGTGTGATGAAATACTGTACCTGTGTGAGACAACAAGCACCTGTGTTTGTGTGTCTTTTGTAATGCTGCATATCTGTGAGGGAATGAGCACCTGCTACGTGCCTATTGTACATTAAATGTTTGTGTGTCTTTTGTAATGCTGCATATCTGTGAGTTAATGAGCACCTTCTAAGTGTCCTTATTGTCCATTAAGTGTGTGTGTGTGTGTGTGTGTGTGTGTGTGTGTTGTAATAGTACCCCTGCTAACCACATGTACTTTATGACTTGCTAACATTACAGACAGAGCGGCACCGAGACCTCACTGCAGACGTTACAGCAAGAGAAGGTGGATGCCGAATTCCGTCACGTCAAATTAGAAGATATTGACATCATAGCAACACTTGGCATGGGCGGCTTTGGGCGTGTGGAATTGGTAAACCTTTATTGTTAACTTGCAGGGAGTAAACATGGGGCTGGCTGTTTTGGTATGTATAAAAGAACAATCAGGAGGTTTGCAGCTGTAGAATGGTTGTACCACTGACTGAAACAGGTCAGATCTGTGGACACAGTACTCACCATCCTCCAGCCCACAATGGAACCATGGCTGCAGTTGCCTTTGAAGTGCAATTTATTGAACATGTTTCCAGTTTGGCAAAGAAACGTTTCCTCAATGTAGAATCAGCAGACGTCTGATTTCACCTTTCATAACGCCCACCTACAGTTTGCTCCCGAAACTATGTGTCATAACGCCATCATCTGTAAGCCTTTAATCTGTTGGTGTATGGACGAAACAGCTGACCACTCTCTGGCCCTCCCGTTCCCACTGTGATACAAACTACTGCATCGTGCTGGAAAGAAAATCAATTCCTCAGCAGAATTTTAAACCAAAAAGCTCTTATGAAATTCTCTGAAGCTTTTTACTAGATTGATGGAAGTAACTCCATTACACAATGTTATGCTAAAGTGCAGTAATCATCCAACTCTACTCCTTGAAATCTGATCAGCTTCACTTGAGTTGTCTCCTCCATGTAAACTGTTGTTCTGCTCAGAAGTATCAGACAGGGGATGTGATGGCTACACATAAACTGACTGGAGCAGATTCACTGGCTTGTGTTTCATCACGAGATTACATCAGGTTGTAGACCTGCTAGAAAATAGCCTGGAAACTCAGACTGGGGCCTTCATTGTTACAGTAATTGATTTAGGGAGAAAACCAACCATGGAAATTGCTTACACATTATAAGTGAGTGATCTCAGTAATCAGGTCAATATCCACTGTAATGGCATTGCTGCTGTTTGGATATCATGGACAAACGTGTTTACCGAGGGTGCCATAACTGAGTTCAGTGGCCAGTATCAGTGTCACAAGCATCACAGTGTTTCCCTTGTTAGCCTATTACTTACCAGCTTTGTTTTAGGGATGGGGAAGTGGGTAAGTAGTACCTTGGGTGGGTACACTGGCACCAGCTTTGTTTTAGGGGTGGGGAAGGGGGTAAGTAGTACCTAGGGTGGGCACACTGGCACCAGCTTTGTTTTAGGGGTGGGGAAGGGGGTAAGTAGTACTTGGGGTGGGTACACTGGCTGATTTCCCTGGCTGACTCTCAAACTGCTTCCCAACATTGGATCCATAACCTTAGAAACCTCATGTGAACTGTTTTCCAAAGGCCAACACGGATTACATGTACTCTTTATGTGGTCAAATAGGTAGCTATTGTCTTTCTAGTAATTTGTAGTAACCAAAATATTGATTGTGGCAAGGTAGTAATGGTCTGTTTGACTGCTAGATTACTACTAAATATTAAGTGCGTGACTTCCATAATTATAAACATTTCTGCTGAAAGTTGTCCATTGTCCAGTCCAGGTCATCTGTTAGAGGTATTGTGGTCATATTCATGTAGATCTGACCGTCAACATCACACATCAATTGTGTCCAGCAACCACTATTTTTTGTAACACGTCATAGGTGTTTCTTCAGTGGTGTTGATCTGAAGCCATTCCCCTCCACAGTATTGACCCACATCAGCCATTAACACCGGCCTTGTGAAGAGCCATCAGGTGTTGGTGGAGGTGCTGCTGTTAGAGGACAGGCATTGATGCAGCTACTGCACTTGAATCAGATGTGACAAGAACTTAAAAATAACCAGCTTCCAAAACTATTTCTACAATTTAAAAACCCTTAAGGCTTGTTTTCATTTAAAGTAGGGTGCCATGACTTTGTTTCCACTTCTCAGTCTTCTATATTGAATTCATGGTTGCTGCAGAACAATCCAAATATATCCGACAAGAACAACATCAGCATTCTTTACACATTCTGTAAGAGGCTAATGCAACAAGGGCAGCATTATTTTCTTCTTCTTTTTTTGAAGGGATCTAAATCTGGAAATAATAAACTAAAGTTTGATTATCATTTGCTTTAAGGAAATTTTGGAAATTAACTTCCAGTCAATACTGGTTTAAGTTAAATATTTATTAGGTTTTTCTGTTTTTTGGTATTGTTGTTGAATACTGAATGTATGACAGTGCATTAGAGTTAAAACGGTTAAAACTTGGTTGATAATGCTTCGCACCTTGTATCTATTCAGCTTATGAGTACACGGTGCAAGGCAAATTTTAGTGTTCATGACTACAATTAGTACAGAAGCCACTCTCACTCACTTGTGCTTCCTTCCATACAGGTTCAGCTGGCCGGAGACAGAAGCAAGACATTTGCGTTGAAGTGCCTTAAGAAACAGCATATTGTAGACACTCGGCAACAGGAGCATGTGTTCTCCGAGAAGAAGATCATGATGGAGGCCACCACTCCATTCATAACAAGGTACACCCTGAAACAAGACCCCTAGAGGTATCATGTAGACGGATACAGCACAAAGTCATCCATCCCCTCCAACTCATTTTCTGTTATGTGGTGTATTGTCTTCAGTTTCTGTTCAGTACATACTGGACCTGGGTTTGATTATATAAAAGTGATGGCCATTAGTATTGTTTTTTATACTTATCAAACCTTACCATAAGTTCCAGAATAACAGGGGCAGTGGGGTAGCCTAGTGGTTAAAGCGTTCGCTCATCATGCCGAAGACCCGGGTTTGATTCCCCACATGGGTACAATGTGTGAAGCTCATTTCTGGTGTCCCCCGCCGTGACATTGCTGGAATATTGACAAAAGCAGTGTAAAACTAAACTCACTCACTCAGTCCAGAATAACATATGTCTCAGTCAACTATTAACTAAAATTTGCAGGAAATATATGGTGTGCTAAATGTGACAACCGTTGACAGGCACACTCTTAATAGCACCTAGAACTCAAGTGGAATCATAAACCTTCAAACAATTCTTAATGACAAAAGGCTTCAAATGATCCTCAATAATGAAAGGCTTCTAGTTATTTTTTATAACGATAGGCAAAATTCACATGAACCTAGTGTGAAGACTTTGTACTGAAGATACTTGAAGCAGAATATTTAGTTGTGCCTGAAGGTCTGACAGATCCTGCTGGGGTTTAATTCAGACGTGACGGGAACCTCCGCTGTCTCAAACAATCTCAACACTTGTGGCATGACTGTGTGTAGATAAACTGAAGTAGAATGCTGTGGGAATCTGGTCTGTGCATGGTCTGGTGGGGATCACTTGTTCCTGGGTCTGTAGTATCAAAAGGCTTCAAGAGATAGTACTTGGGACAATATATGCATCTGTGTGGGGTGTCCATGCTAAACTGTGGCATAGTATCTCACTATCTCTATGATTTGATGTTAAACCTCATGACTTGAATATGCATGCATGGTGCTATGTAAATGTAATAATCTTGAATTCGATGTTAGCCCTCATATAACATCACCACCTTCAAACATGGTAAAATGGAGAAATACTGATACACAAGGAGCAGTAAGCAAGCAGAGGTTTGTGATCAATCATTTTAGATATTGGCCAAATTTGTGAAACTGCATTTGCTGAACCCTGGGGCAGGGCCTGATCCAATTCATTACCTGAACATAAGGGTCACTACTGCCCAGCACAAGCCACTCCACTGACTGTGTTAGCCGCAAGATTAAGTTTTGCCTCAAGTCATGAATCAGTAATGACCCATAGTTGAATAAAGGCCAGTAGCAAAGTGTTCGCTTTGATTTGGCAGTGAAGTTAATAAAGTACAGCACATTGAACAAGAGTTGCAGTGATGCTTGTACGTCTACTTATGTATCAAAAGCAATTTGTGTATAGGATTGGGAATTGTTTGTACCTGTGTTATCCTGTGTATACCTGGCCAAGGAAAATAAGTGATGTATCTGAGCACTGCTGATGCATGATATTACTCTGGTGCCTTGTTGGTAATGCATGATATTACTCTGGCACCCACCTGGTGATGCATGATATTACTCTGGCACCCACCTGGTGATGCATGATATTACTCTGGTGCCTTGTTGGTAATGCATGATATTACTCTGGCACCCACCTGGTGATGCATGGTATTTCTCTGGCACCCACCTGGTGATGTATGATATTACTCTGGCACCCACCTGGTGATGCATGATATTACTCTGGCACCCACCTGGTGATGCATGATATTACTCTGGTGCCTTGTTGGTAATGCATGATATTACTCTGGCACCCACCTGGTGATGCATGATATTTCTCTGGCACCCACCTGGTGATGTATGATATTACTCTGACACCCACCTGGTGATGCATGATATTACTCTGGTGCCTTGTTGGTAATGCATGATATTACTCTGGCACCCACCTGGTGATGCATGATATTACTCTGGTGCCTTGTTGGTAATGCATGATATTACTCTGGCACCCACCTGGTGATGCATGATATTTCTCTGGCACCCACCTGGTGATGTATGATATTACTCTGGCACCCACCTGGTGATGCATGATATTACTCTGGTGCCTTGTTGGTAATGCATGATATTACTCTGGCACCCACCTGGTGATGCATGATATTACTCTGGTGCCCTACTTGTAATGCATGATGTTACTCTGGCATCCTGCTTCTAGTGCAGGTAGGTCCTCTGGAACCCTGCTTCTAGTTCAGGTAGGTCCTCTGGAACCCTGCTTCTAGTTCAGGTAGGTCCTCTGGAACCCTGCTTTGGCATCCTGCTTCTAGTGCAGGTAGGTTCTTGTGAATACACAATACCATTTAGAAAGTGGTCAAATGTAACATATGTTATATTTGGGATTACACTTTCTTAGTAAAATACAGATTCTGGTACTTTTGTTGGGCTGAGTCTCATCTGGGATTTGAACCCACACCATCAGTCAGGCACCTAATTGCCAACACACAAAGTCAGACGCCTAATCCACTCAGCCACCGTGGCTACCTCTGTAACGTGATTTTAACGTTATATTTTGGATTACTCTTTCTTAGTAAAGTACAGACTCTAGTACTTTTGTTGGGTTAAATCCCATCCAGGATTCGAATCCCCACCATCAGGGTCAGGCACTTATTCACCAGCACTCAAAGTTAGATGCCTAACCTGTTCAGCCACTGCGGTGTCCTTGTGGGTAATCTGGCACTCTGCTTGTGTCCGTACTTTATCTCAATGAACAAGAGCTATGTAAAAAAAGAGTTTATGATACAATAAAAATGTTTTACAAATATGAGTTCCAATCAAAACTGTCTTACTGTCCCTTTAAACTATTGTCCATGTGTCAGGGAAAATATATCATTAGCCGTGACAAAGAGTAATTTCACAAAAACTTAGATATGCAATAGCATAACATTTTAGGATTTTATTCTGAAAAGTTTTTTTTGATAATCACTCTGTTTTTTCTGTTTTACAAAAATGTTTGAAAATATGCATTACAAACTTCATCAGGGCTTGAATGAGCATTCATTGTACAGAACACTGTTTCTTCGGTCTTGTTTAGCCATTTATTATTCTTTATCTTGGGTTATTTTGGCTGTGTGTGTGTGGTTGTGTGTTTCATTTATCATTATTTTATGTAGTACCATTCATAAATTGAAAAAGGTGGTCGTCTTTTAATGATAATTCTAAAACTACATCTACTGTAAATACATTACGTTTTCATGGTTTAGTCCTTGCTGTGAGGGAGCCTACGTGAGCTACTTTATGTTGTCAGTGTTAAAGTGGATATAAACAGATGTTCATCACAGTTATTGATTCCACTTCATTCTCCAGCTAGTTGTGTTGATATATTACTGTAATTAGCATCAATGACATTTGGAATCCAGGGAACTCGGGCTCAGGTTTTCAGGTAGACAGAAGAGCGATTACCACAAATCAGCAATAGAATTATTTTGTAAATTAAAGGTGCACCAAAAATAACCACAGTATGATGAAAATAGGCGCATGCTTATGATGGTAAAAAAATATTAATATTAATTGATGTTATGTTCTTGGTTTCCTTGGAAACCAATTTGGTTTAAATTGCTTTGCCTAATTTAGTAAAGAAAGTAACAGCAACAGACTGAACTTAATAATGATTGTCATGCAACTGCTTTTGTCTGCTATAATTGCAACGAGTGAAGGGCCATGCAATCTGGATAAACATCCTGCTCACGCTTAAAGAGATTCCTTGTTTTCATTTACCAATTTTTTTCAAATATCATCTCAATGTTTGACATTTATTGTTTGACATTACTTGATGGAATATGAAACAGTAGTGTAGGGCATGGTGTTGGAGAGGGATGCCGAAGGTGGACTTGAGTCTACATGGACAGCAACGACCGTCCACTTCACATGGTACTACAGCCAACAACAGATAGATCAATAAAGAATTGATGTCTGCTGTTAGACATGTGATAGCATCCCCATTACGCTGCTGTCGCTGCATTCTGGCACGGTGGCCATGACGATGTAGCCTCACTGAGCTGGTCTCCTGTAATATGGTGGTATTTGATGACAGGATGGAAATATACCAGTCGTCATTGTAAGCCCTGTTGATATCTGTATGACACACACTGAGAATGATGAAGATATATGAAACACAAAGCCGGAGATGATGACTGACTTTTATCTTGTTTAATGCAACTAATTTGCGATAGAATTGAGCCAACATTGACATGAGTAGGATACTACATTTAAATTCTAGACTTATCACACTAGGAACATTGATGCCAGCATTAAGAGTCTCAAGTTTTCCTGGTTTGGTCTGAGTGTACTAGAGAGAGCTAAGATGAATGTTGGTAGATCCCTAATAGTAGGTTTTTGTTGATATTTTCTAAAGTTTCTGTAACTATTGCTACTTTTAACATGATAAGAAATATATTTGTGTAAATTGTATGATTGAAAATTTTCAGACCTGATCAATATCCCAATTTTAGTTCACCTGATAGTTAGGTTCAAATGGGGTTCTGGGGTTAGTTAATAGCATTGATTCATTGTGTATCAAGGAAAGGGGAACTGAAGTGTTTTAACATCATATAAGGGTTTGTTGCTCTTATATACTGATGTGTATGTGTGTGTGTGTGTGTGTGTGTGTGTGTGTGTGTGTGTGTGTGTGTGTGTGTGTGTGTGTGTGTGTGTGTGTGTGAGAGAGGAGATGCTTGTACTTGTACAGACTTATGCTGGTTTTTCAGTGCTAGTCCACTGTGATACTGACAGTACTATATATTATTGTCTTATGACATGCACAAGGGAATCAAACCACCACCCTGTCCACTGTGATACTGACCAGTACTATATATTATTGTCTTATGCCATGCACAAGGGAATCAAACCACCACCCTGTCCACTGTGATACTGACAGTACTATATATTATTGTCTTATGACATGCACAAGGGAATCAAACCACCACCCTGTCCACTGTGATACTGACCAGTACTATATATTATTGTCTTATGACATGCACAA